AAAAAAAAAAAAGACAAAAAAAAAAGATGAAAAACATTCGGAAGCATTTTTTCAAACTGTTAATCTTTCTTATAGTGAATAGCGAAATAAAATGCTAATAGATCAAACAGGCAAAAAAGAACTTACGCGTGCCAAGTTCTCCCCACCCCCGATCGATTATTCCTCTTTGTCCCGTGTTCTTTAATGCTTCCAAAATGATATTCGTGGTTTTGTTCGAATCCTCCAGAGGCTTTATTTCAAACAAAATCAGTATCATTAGTGACCATCACTTAAGCCATTTTTTTTAAAGATACAAAATAAATGTCCATCACGCTAAATTGAGTTTATGAAATAATTTGTTCAAATTGAGTTATTTTGGTTAACTATAGTTAATTTTGAAAAAGGTAGTATGGTTAGTTGTAGTGGAATTTTAAGAATGTATTAAAATAATATTTAAAATAATATAATTAAAATTGATTTGATGTAAAAGTAAGAGATAAATGATTGGAAATGATAGGTAGTTAAAAATATGTGAGTGGATGAATAGTGAATTAAAGTTGATGTGATGTGTAAGAATGATTAGTTTGTATTATTTAATTATATGAATAATATTAAAGATAGTGGGAATGAGTTAAAATTGAGTTAGATTTTGAGTTGAAATAAAAGTGAGTAAATTATTTGGTAAACAATCACCCCCTAATTTTTTTAAAGACGATCTTACAGTACCAAGGAACAGAATACGAAGATGAATTAAATGAGAAGGTAAATTACTACTATATATTGTACTACTGTACCATGCTTCCAAATCCAATGTAAATAGGTTGAGTTCCGTTTTCGATCCACTGAACAAATTCATCGGGCGGTTGGTACCGAGACCCAAGATTCAAAAAGCAGTAACCAACAACATCAACCAGTGGGCCCCAGTCTGCAAATAATTAAATTTATGAGAACCGAGAACTGTTATAAAAAGAAATGATAAGTTCATAAAAATGTGATCATCTTGGTTTGAAAAATGTCATTGCCTCTAAAATTTTTCTTAAACCAAACATCTCACCGTCATTATTTTTTTTATTTTTTTTTTCAAAAAATAAGAGGCTCGAACTATTATGAACTTTCAAAAGATTGCACTAACCCTTCGGCTTTGGCACGACATGAGGACTCCACATATATCCTGTTGGGAGATGAGAAATCGAGCCGTGGTAAGTGCTGAAGTATGCAATAGGGGAAAGTTTCAGCTTATTCTTCCTAAAGTTATTTATATGTCCTCTTATGCCCCACCAAATCAGTAAATCCACAAGAATATAGGAGAGCTACAACATCAAGTAAGGAAAAAAAATAGGAATCAAATAGCAAGTCGAGTTTTATTATCTTCAGTTGAAGAACATAAAAAGAATCTCATGATAGTAGAAACATACATACCCAGTTTCCTGCACTTTGAGGCACACGTGCCAATGGATGAGGAAAATCATACGTAGGCCTGTCTATATAGCACACATGTAAGTGTTTTTTGTAATTTTATATAATAAAACGATTATTATTAGCATAATACATAAAGCTACACAAGGAATTTGTTCGTGAGTATTATTTAAATGTTGTTATCAGTCAGTGAGCCAAAAACCTCCCAAGCTTTTAAGAAATTGTGTTCTTATAAAACTATTTTATGAAATAAATTTATCACGAGTAATTAAAATAACCATGTTTAAACTAATTAAAGACTGAGGCAAATCAAACAAAAAACTTACGTCCAAGGCATTGTGAAGAAGATGTGCAGAGGAACACCAAGAGCTTCAGCTATGTGTGCATGCCCTGATAATAATAATAATAATATAATAATAATAATAATAATAATAATAATAATAATAATAATAATAATAATAATAATAATAATAATAATAATAATAATAATAATAAGAAGAAGAAGAAGAAGAAGAAGAAGAAGAAGAAGGAATTGCATTTTTGTATGCTCTAATCTTACATGTCGAGAGCTCGTTGAGAATGTATTTTAAAATGCAGATACTGTAGTTTAATTTTAATAGTGTGAATATTTTTCCATATCTTTTTTCTAAATGACTAACCATAAGCAGGAGGATTTGCAATGATTGCCTGAGCCCTGAAAAGTTCGCCGGTTATTGGATCTGGCTCTGTGCATGCTGGAAGGAGAGATTCAATAATCGCCTTTATTTGTTTCCTTTGAACAGAAATTTCTCCCGGTGCTGATGGAATTAAGCCTTTATTTCTGGCCATATCTACAGTTTCATAATATGATTGCTCACACTTGTCAACTACACATTCATACTGTGGAACTTACTCAAATTCAGGCAAAACAGACTAACTTGACACCTCAAAGTTATATAAGACAATCGAAAAAAAGTCATATTTAATAATATATAAAATATTGTAGGCATAAATTTGAAGATTGTAAATGTATCTCTAGAATCTCTTACATCCAGCCAAAACACGAGGATCACCCCCGAGAGGGTAAAAATCTACACCAGCTGCTTTCACAAATCCACGGAAGTTGGAATGAGTTGCCAACCTTACATGATGACCATATTCCTGTAATCACATATAAAGATTATTTTTTTTTCAAGATAAATAGTAGGTAAGTGTTCAAATGGAAAAATTCCATATAAAACGTGTGAGATAAAATGTTGCATAAGCATGGATCAATGTCAAACTAATAATTATCCCGTATTTTCTTTCCATGAGGTTAGGAAGAGATACTTAACCATTGCACCCCAAACTACACAAAATTGGTCAAATTTAAACACACAAAGGCGATATAAATTTTACAACTGAAGATACTAGTTGAGAAGCGAAACAGTGAAAACTGTAAATAAATAAAAGGGACGAATGAAAATACCACCCCTTAGATTTGGCTTAATTACAAAAAAGCTCCAGGAGTCTTGTAAATTTAGAAGGACAGTCTTAAGGTGTTGCAAGTACACCCTTGAGCCTCGAGCTCGTATTTCGCATTTGGGTAATTTGGCAAGCCACAGCTGAGTTTCTATCATTATCTCACAAATTCAATACCCAAACATAATTATCAGCTCTCATCCACCAGCCACCAGAACATACAAAACCCAAAACCATCCCTTCCCACAGAAAGAAATAGTAGATAATGGCAAATTGGAAAAATAAAAAAAAAAATAAAAAAAAATATAATGAAAATAAAAATAAACAGCTAGATGAATAAAACATTCACTCAGAAAATTGCAGCCTGTACCTGTAGTCACAGCAAACTGGAAAAACATATTTTAAACAAGCTAGATAAACAATTAGAGATAAACTTGATAAAACCGCTAAAAAACATGCATTCAGAAAATTACAGCTTGTACCTGTAGTCTCCTTGCCACGGCTAGGAAGGGCTGCACATCTCCTCTAGTTCCAACTACAAGCATGGCAATCTTTAGTTTTGGAATAGACTTGTTGTGATCGGTCGTGATATAATCAACACTAGAAAAAAATTCATCAACTGGATGGAACTCCAATAGCTCGGAAGCTACTGGAGAATCCTGAGTGAGATCAACCTCCACCGTCCCGTCTTTTTGGATCTTCACTAAGTTCACAATTAAATTTTTCTGCACAAAAATAACATAGCACTTTTTTTAATATCAATCAAGATTTTTCCAGGAGCAATATGTGAGTAAGGGATTGTCATGTGTAGAACAAAAAATAAAACATCAAAAGATGCATATATACAGAGAAAGAAAAGGAACTGTCATAAAGGCATTTTTCACCTTCTCGCTTTCTGAAAGTCTATCCAACTTCCGGGAAGGCATCGGGCTACCCCTTCTCTCGGTCAAAGGCCTCATAGGCGAGACATCTTGGCCCTCAAGAAAGAGCTTTCTGTGCACAGGTGCCGTGAAGCAATGGTCCAAAACTAGAAAAAAGATAGAATAAAAAAACTGAAGTAAGAATGCCACCTCGTTTTCAACCAAGAACTCAAATTAACTGAAATCATTCACATAAAACAAAATTCTAATTTGCAGACCTTTTTGCACCTGGGGCGAAGGACTAAAGTTTGATCGGGAAACCTCCACAAAAGAAGTCGAATGCAATAAACTAGTCCTTAGGTGGTTCCTTGGAGGTGTCGAATATGAATAAGATTGTTCGTCTAACTCAGAGGACGTGCTTTTACACTGATCTTCTAAATCATCCCGTTCTAAATTAGATAGCTGATCAAGATTGATTTTAGTCACTTCATGAATCTGGTCTGAATTGGTAGAGACAGCCCGGCATACATCAAATTCTAAGCTTCTTGGCATCTTATCACTCACACTACTGTCCATTTCATCCTTTTTTCTTTATCCTTTACTTTCTCAAATAAAAAAATGAACTCCTCCAGCAGCTACCTCAGATTTTCAACTAAACTCTTTTGCTAAACCTCTGCACAAAGATTTGCATACATCAAAGCTTTCCATAACATGATCACATGAAAACGAAGATAAAAATGTAAGAAAAGAAACCCACAATTCAACACTTCAGAAGGCAGCGATTGGGACTAAAACTCTCAAACTTCCACAAGATTCATACTAAAAAATGCTAAAAATAGGGATAAAAATGAATAAAATGAAACAGACAAACCGGTCGTCAATGTAAAGGCGGCCATTGAAAACTGCTAAAAAAAACAGTAGCTTTGGACTTCAATTCAAACAGCCAATACCAAACTAAACCATTCAAAAAACCCACCACACAATAGAGAAAAGTCCAAGAAAACAAGGAAAGAAAAGATTCACGCTCTTTGCTTACTTGACATTAAGAAGAATTCAGAGATGAAGAAACTAACCAACAATAAACTGATTTTCCACCAAAACTCGAGACGGCGGCGGCGGCGGCGGCGGCGGCGGCGGCAGCCGCAGCTTGATAGAAGACGCAAGATTTTCAATTTATCGGCAAAAATACACCAAGGGTCGCGAGAAAGAACGCTTTTTTAACTTTCCAAAAAGTTCACTGTAAAGGACAGGGGAAAATTATTACATGATACGAGAGTTGTGGGATGAGTGAAAAAAAAGATAAAACCTTTTGGAATTTGGAGGGTTTTTGGAGACGATTTGGAATTTAGAAACTCTTGGCTGTGGACAAAGTTTGTGGGTTTTTCTTGTTCTTCTTTTTGGTTTTGATTGTGGGCTATTAAGTATAGTTGGTAGGTACACAAGTGTGTGTTATGACACTACTATGTGAAGCTTGGATCTTGAAAATTATATTCTTTTCTGCAAGTTTTCAATTTCAATTAATCGACGAAGAATTTGTTGGGAATGATCGGGAGTTGAAATAAGTCAATTTCTTGCAAATTAAGGAGGAGATTGAGAGAGAGTGAATAAAAAATGTTAATGATATTGATGATAAATGATCCAATTTGCACACCCTCTTAACTGTCAAACGTGTGTATGTACAGTATCTATCTGTACTACCATAGGTTTTATAGTTCTTTTCTTTGGTTATTATTGGGTGGGTAGTTTTAGTTCAGATATTAACGGGAAATGTTATGGTCATGTTACGAAATCATCTCGTCGGAAGTTTTAATTATTGGATACACATGTAATTAGTATAGAATAGAAGATCTAACGGTTAAATTACCTGATGAGATGGTCCCGGGACCATAACATTTCCCCTAACTATAATTTGATAAACAAAATTAATGCTCCTATACACCAAAAAACAAGGGAAAAAAGTGATCATGTTGTAATTTCTATTTAATTTCATTGTATATAGATAAGTGTATAATCGTAATTCTATATTCGTGAACACGTGTCACTCATCCAATAAAATAAATCTGAATTATAAAATGAGTTTGAAAAAGAAAAAAAAAAAAAAATCATCTCCAAAATGAATCCTCATCACAAGACAAATAACTATTTTATTTGTTTTTGTAAAAATAAAAAATAAAAAATGAAACCTCTCTATATATAAATCTAAAGTTTACTGAGGTTTATTGTTCATCTTTGTTGTTTTTTTTATGTGTCAATTTTGTATGCTTAGCAATCTAGTTAGTCTAAATTCAGCAACTAATTCAAGATTCTAAGTTTCTAACCCACATAATGTGATGATAAGTGCACAACAAAAATTGAAGCTGGACTTTAGTAAGATATGGAATGCTTGGTCATGGGAGGTTGGCAAACATACAATAGATCACATGTATGGATTGCAAAGTAGAAAATTCACATGGCATCTCAAAGGATATTCTATCATATCATTATTAGAACCAACCCATCCAAAACCCAAATGCATAATTTTTTATAACATGTTGAATACAACATATTTAAATATTTATAATAATTTTTCAAATTTTTTGGTAATTTAGTGTCTGTTTGTAAAAACTTTAACAAAAATCCACATCCTAAATTGCCTGTTGACATAATGAATTTACTGCAAAACGAGAACCAACTTATTTACATATAAGCTCATTCCCAATTTGCCATCAGACAAATATTTTTTCCAATTGAACTTTTGCATCGTGTAATTTCTCGAAATGTACAAACTATTACAAATTTATATAATAATAATAATATGCTTTAAGAATGGTCGAACATCGTCATATTCCTCAGTGCCGATCAAGAATAAATCATCAATGAAAACAATCAGACACCAACACCAGATAATAACTCTACTCAAATATAATACTCTTAAAAAAAAAGAAAAAAAAAAACTCGATTTATATACATACATATCCTACTAAGAAAACAATACATCTATATACAAATCCCTAGTTAAAATTTTCAAATACAAAATCCTCCACACACTCTCTAAGAGCATCCACAATGCTTTGGGTCTCTTTTTGCATATGTGGCAAATAAATAGACTTAAGTCCATAATGACATGGACAAACCTAAACTAAAAAAACCAAAATCTATCCAATGCAAAATCAAAAAGTACTAGGTCTAGAATACATGACAACCAATAAAAATGCTCTAGTATATTTCATTTATTAAAAGAAAAATTAAATGAGGAATAAATGATGAGTGCTTGGGTTTGTACTTGGGTCTAAAATAGACCCAAGTGTGGACTAGGTCTCATTTTTTTATTGCCACATAAGCTAGACTAGTTCCACTTTTAATTGCATTGGAGAACACTTTTTTATAGACTAGGTCTATTTCTTACATGGCATGTAACTTTTTTCTAAGAAACCCAAAGCATTGTGGGTGCTCTAAAGTTCGAGTAATACTCTCGTTGACTTTTTAACCATTGAATTACACACTCATCCATACACTGTTATAAGCTTCCAACGGTTAAAATACATAGCATTGATATTATCCTACGAATTCTTTTCTTCTACTCAACATCCTTTGAAATTTCCTTAACCAGCATGGCCCGAGCCCGATTAATCGTGACAAGGCACAAGTAAACGTGCTCCTCAAGCTCCTCCACCTTCTTCCCCAGCCCGAACCCATCCTTCCTCATCTCCTTCAAAACCTCCAAACACACCCTGTCATCCAAACACGCCCTTACCATCCCCTTCCCGTGCTCGAACTCGTCCCCGAGCCGCCCCACGAGCCGGCTCATCGTCTCCAGGTCCCGGTCCAGTATGTACGCCCCCTTCGCCGCCGCGTCCAGCTGCCCCGCCGCCCTCCTGAGGTACCTCCCCCCGCACTTTACGAACCGGAAACCGAACCTGACCCTCCTCCCTCGCAGCCCGAGTACCGCGGGGCCCACAAGTATCGCGCCCAGCGTGTGCGCCGCCAGGAACACGGCGGCGGCCGCCAGCACCCCGCAGGCCGCCGCGCAGCAGACGCCGCTGGCCCGGTTGATTATCCGAACCGTCCGGATCTTCCTCGCAACCGCCCTCCTGCTTGATTTCAACTGACGAAGGACCGACGAGTGCCTGCCCCGAAGGTGTTCGATGTTTTGCCCCTTAACGTCAGAAAGGGGGTTTTGCTGAAAAACACTCGACCGGAGCTCGGAGAGTGCGAGGGAGCCGTCATGGCCGATGGAATCGATGATTTTAGCAATGGATCTGTAGCTGGTTCGGAGGTGGGTTAGGGTTTCGAGGAGGCGGCTGCAGAAATCGGAGGCCTCGGCACTAGTGTCAAAGTAGTTGAGGAGGAGCGATTTTAGGCCGTCCGATGATGATTTTGAGAAAAGGGGAGATGAGTCGAGGATTGAGGCTATGGCTTTCTGGCTCGGTTGGAGAAGAACTTGTGAGAAGCTGCCTGAATGGGTTATTTGGTCGGCCGGTGGTGGTGATAATGGCGGCGGTTTCTCTTTCACGAGCAGCTGGAATTTTGTGCAGCAATCGGCAAAAGATTGTGTCCTGACCGCGCATAGATATTCCTCATTGACGTTCAGGTTCGTTTTAGTTTTCTTGGTGTTATCATTACCTGCAGCGGATTAATTTGCAGCTCATGAGTATAAGATGAAATTACTAAATAAACAGAAACAAATAGGGTGTGACTTGTGAACAGCAACAAATGAGCTGTGAAAGTTTCGATTTTTCTTGCACACACCTTTGTTGGTAGCTCGAGTTTTGAATCTGGGCCACATCTTGTTTGGATTCTGGGATTTAAAGCTGCACCGGTTTTACGTTGTCTTCGATGAATGAAGCTTCTGTTGATCAAGAACTTATAACCGTGTGAACTGTCAGAATTGCGGCAAAACCTCGAAGAACAGGGTTTTTTTCTTCTCTATATACAACCTTGAGGAAACAAAATAATGGAAATAAGGGTTTTCTTTGAAGAACTTTAATCCTTTAAAGAATACTCTAGCTTCCTAAGTTGTGATCTCTTGCTCGGGTCAGTTCGTGGAAGATTTAGAGCCAGTAATTAAAGATGGAGGTTTGAGGTTTATTTTTGTGTTCATTAGATCATATATATAGCTTTGATCTCTCTCTCTCTCTCTCTCTCTCTCCTCTCTTTGTAGGTGAGAGAGAGAGATAGGGAGAGAGAGACTTGTCCGAGATGTTTGCTAAGTTTGAGGCTAATACAATGTAAGATGAGGCTTCTGAGAGAGGGTAAGGAAGGTTTTATCTTATCTGTATGTGTAGTAGAGTAGCGTGTGTTGCTTTTATTTCCCGTCACCTTGCTTTACATGCACAAATTGCATGACTACTATTTTTTGCTTGCATCATTAATATAGCAATGATTCTAATTAAGAATTATGCTACTTAGTCAACCTTCATTACAACTTGGTTTACAACCAAGTGTAATGGAGGCATTAAAAAAATATAAAAAATACTTTTTTAATGCCTCCATTACACTTGGTTGTAAACCAAGTTGTAATGGAGGTTGGCTATGTAGCATAACCCTTCTAATTAATCGGGTGAATAACTAATTTTTCATCATCCAATTTGTGAATT